TCAGGAAAAGCCTTTGCAGCCAGATTTACATGTCATGTGTGAAAACCTTCAGCTGCACAGTGTGAGACGTCTGGTTGTAGAGCTGATGTTATGGGAAGCTCAAACCAGGGAATCCCTGGCAAGTCTCAGTTGACCTGTATTCATTTGCAGCATCCCACTTCTGCCTGTGTTGTCGGTAGTCGCAGGACCTGAGCCAAGTGCCCTTCCTCGACAGGAGAAGAGGTCCTGGGGGGGTCTTGCATCCCGTGCGGTCAGAGCTGCGTGCTCAAGATGCGGTGTCACAACTGCCAGTCCCTTCCTTCCCCCAGCCGTGCTGTCCTGTTTCCTCCATGGACCTAATGGCTGTCTAGGCATCAAAACAAGAGTTCTCCTAGGTGAGAAGTAGGACCAAAACTCTTCCATACAAATTGTTCTGTGCTAGATCACCTCCCCTAATCTGACTGCGCAACCAGATGAGTGCCTGGCCAAAATAAAATGCATTGTGGGAACGCATATCTGGGGTAGGTTGGTCCGATTTAAATCTAATCTTATGGTGCAATTTATAATCATCTTAGGATTGTATGTTTTATTCAGACCAAAGGATTTTTCTTGTCAATAGCCAAAGCTATTTGTTGCACCATCTTTTGTACTCAATAAAGAAGGCAGAATATGATGTTCCCTCTCTTCAGGGGCAAGTGGAAAAGTACTGTGAAGGTCCTGGAGTGCTCTCTAAAGTAACCCATAGCAGTAAAAACCACCAGCTGCAGTGGCCAGTGGTTACTGGGGCAAGCTGAAGGTGTATGGCCGGTCCGTGTCCCGGCATACCACAGGCAAAACATCTAGAGGACTTCAGGGCACTGTTACTCAAAGCAAGAGATGGGTAACTTACCTTGTGCCTTTCTTCTGTCCGTAAGGGGCCCTAGCAGTGCTGCATCCTCTCCTTTTAGCCCACATGAGGGACTTGCCTGTATTGAAGGCCGCCTCAGTGCTGGGCCTCGGCTCAGCTGGGTACAAGGGAGGGGATGGAGAGAAGCCGTTGGTTCCAGGGTGCTGTTTTCCCCGCGATGCCCAGGCTGACGGCTGCTCTCCTGCTCTCTTCCGTTGCGCTCAGCCCACGTCAGGCTATGGGCAGACAATGGGGAGGCTGCTGCCCTCTAAATAGCCCATTGTGTGCCCGGAGTAGGAGCAGCAAAGAACCGGCGCGTCTTGGCAGCTCGGGTCAGGCCTTGAGATACAGGCCGTGCTGCAAAGAATGAGTCCTGGGTGCTGCAGAGGGAGTGCGTGTGTGCGCGAGTGGAAAGAGCTTTCTTTGTGCGAGTGCTGCAGGACTCGAACTGGAGCGATGAATTCAGAGGGATGCTTTTGCAGGCTGAATATTGGGAACTGCAGTTTCCTCAGGTGTGGCCTCAACAGGTATTTATCTCTGAAGTAGCTCTTCTGTCCTGTTGCCCTTTAAAGCCTCTTTTTCAGGTAGCAAGTGTTGGTTTCCAGCTAAAACCACGCAAGGGTCAATTGGTTGTACTTGTGAGGAGTAATCTTGAGTTTCTCAAATATTGTCTATTCTGTTCCAGGTTTGTTGCTACATGTAGCAACTTGAGTATCAAAGTATCAAACTTGAGTATCCGTCTTACAGGGAATCTGCTTTTTCTTTAGGTCTCCAGCCCTCACTTCCCCTCAGGTGCTACTTACTGTCTTATATTAGGACTCAGTTTCTCAGCGGAGTATCCGGAGTGTAGATTCCACCTGGATAAGAAGTAATTGCAGTACTTGAGTCTGCAAAAAGCATGGTATTACTGCCATTTGAGTCAATTAGCCTTGTTAGCCTTGCACAGGTCTCCCTCCTTAAGTGTTAAGTTTCCCATGGCAAAGTAGTTAGAAGTGCTTTTTTTTCCCCAAGTGGAAGGTTCATGCTGATATGCAGCAGAAGTGAATAGCTCACTGATCACTTTCTTTAGTCCGCCAATGGTTGAAATGATGGGTGTGGGAAGGTCTTCATGAAACTCCAGAATATGGAGGCCTATAGATAGGGTTCGGGAGTGTCCAGGTGAGAGCAGAGAGTGAGAACCGAAAGGTCTCTCCTAACTGAGCCTGGGTGCCTGCTGGGCCGCTCTGCGTGTCGTGGGTGAGCAGAGCCAGCTGAGTGCAGTGCCCTTGAGGAAAGGAACAGAGAGTTGGATCCTGGATCCCTTCTGAGGGTCTCTAAAGGTGTAAACTGCTCCCCTTCCTCTTGGGGAGAGACCCTGGAGGGCCAGGTGTAGTTGGAGCATAGGCCAAGCAAATGTGGAGGCGGATCAAAGAAGGCCGAGAGACCTCCTGTCTCTTCTGAGGAGTCACTTGTTTGTAAATGTGACTTTTCTATTGCCTCTGGTTTTCTCTTAGCACGGAGAAGAAGAGTTGATACCGCTTAGCAGGTAGTGCTGAAGCTAGGAATTGCTTGGTGCTGCAGAAAACTTTATTCTACCGCCTTTTTGTGCTGATGAAGCAGATGCAATAAAACATGCTTAAGTGTTTATATCATGGCTTTAACACAGTTATGTAATGTATTTTATTGCCTCTGTTTATGCTGAGTGAGTCTTGATTCTTGTTATAGGTTGTCCTATAAAAGCTGTTCAAGAAAACAACAAGTGCTGGTAGATGAGCTTTTCTCTTTCTACGTAGCCCTAAATCATACCAACTCTTTGACTACAATAGGCCCCTTATATGATTGAACTGAACTTATTTAAATTCTTCCTAGCCATAGTAGCTCAACAGTCTTTTGAAACAGTGATTCTCTAATAACACTGCATTCCTCAATCCTACAGTGCATATGCAGGATGCATCAGGACTAATGCAGAAGGGAGATGAAATATGTGCTGTTTAAAAGTCAGAGGTTGGTTACTGTGTGTCTTGAGGAGGGAAGAGCTAAGCTTGCTCATGCCCATTTTATATAATACCTCCCCCCTTCTAGTTTTGTAGCATGATACTATAGTAGCATACTTAAAATTGGCACATTAGTAAAGTATGCTGTAGGAAAGGCTTTTTTATTCTTACATGCAGAAGGGAGATGAAATATGTGCTGTTTAAAAGTCAGAGGTTGGTTACTGTGTGTCTTGAGGAGGGAAGAGCTAAGCTTGCTCATGCCCATTTTATATAATACCTCCCCCCTTCTAGTTTTGTAGCATGATATTATAGTAGCATACTTAAAATAGGCACATTAGTAAAGTATGCTGTAAGAAAGGCTTTTTTATTCTTACTTTCATTCATGTATGTATCTTTAAAACCTGAAGAGATAGGAGCATGATTTTATACACAGAGAGTGAGAGCATGGCTGTCCTACTATTGAGTGTGTGTGTATATATGTACATGGAAAGCTACTTATATAGAAATAAAATTTCCCCTGTCAAGGAAAGATGAAAAGATTTATTCTTGACATATTCAGGAGCTCTTCTTTTACCTTGCCCTGCTTCAGCTGAGTTTGTTGCAGGCTTTAGGTGCTGTCTGCCATGCACCGCAGCACGGGCGGGTGAAATGAGGCTTCTGGCCCCAGGTGCTGCAGGCTGTACCCTGAGGGCCTGCTGTAAGAGCAAGGGCTGGGGGGCAGGGAGGCTGCGAGGGGGCTGCAGGGCTTTCCAGGGGCCCTTGTGGAGGTGGAACCCAAATCCAGCCTGGCACCCCCCGCACCCTCGTGCCAGCCTGGTCCTTTCCCCTTTTGCTGATGGTGTGAGAACATGGGCCCTTCGGACTATTTATATGTATTTTTTTCCACAGTCTGCAGCAAATGCTTGTTCAAACACTGATCAGACTTCTTATGAGCTGGACAACTCTCCTGTTACCCCGTTAAATAACCGATTGCAGCAACGCAGGTTTCAGCAGCGCGCTGCAGGCTCGAGGTATTTACGGAAAGGTGAAGCCTCGGTGTGGCGCGGCCGGCCGCAAAGCCGCGGTGCCTGCAAGCGCCTGGCCGGACTTCAGCGCCCGTCGCCCACGT